TTGTTGGGTTTTTCTCTGTATCTATGAAGCGCCTTGAGGCGACTTTTGTTGTGATTTGGCGCTATATAAATAAAATTGAATTGAATTGAAAAATTGAATAAGTTGTCCTAACATAGTCATCTTAAGTAAGCTTTACTCAATTTTTTAGAGGCACTGAGTTTGCATAGTGTTTTTTTTTAAGTTCTGGGAACTAATTAGATTTTACAGTGTACTCAAAGGTAGATTTGGTGGATTTGGTCTGCAGTGCCATCAATCCTCAAACTCACATTATCTCTTTGATGTTACTGCAATAAAATTCCCTCCATCCATCACTCATCCCAGCTGATCCAGAGTAAGAATTGATTTAATGATAATCCCAAAGGCTGAGATACGCATAAGTATGACTTTAGTTTCTCCAACCAGACAGCTGACTGCAGATCAGAAGAATGAGGGCAACCCTCATTCTTCTGATCTGCAGTCTTAATGGATATTTAAGCGTTCACTGCAAACTATGACACTCTCCAATAGAAAATCACATCATGCTTTAAGCCATCAGAACTGTAGCTGCAGCACAATAAAAGCCAAATTTATTTTTTTACATTTTTAGTTTGTTTTATTTGAAAATCTAACAAAAAAAAATTTAATCAAAATCTAACAAAGGAGATGTCAGGAAGGACAACGCTTTATCAACATATACAGGCAACATATTAAATGGTTATTTTGCTGGCAGCCCAGCAGTTAAAATGTTTTCATATTAACATATTGACACATTTGAATCTTGAAAATATGCACTCATTGTATGTGCATGCACTATATATGGAAATGTATATCTAGAAGCTGATTCATTAGGAACTGTTGTTCCTCATTCAACCCTTTATTGAATGAGAGTGTCTGTTTGGTACATCCAATCTGTGAGGGCCTATGGTTACTGGGTTTCTCTCTTTTGTTCGCAACTTATAGATGTTACAGCATCTTTGTGTTACTTGGTTTGAGTGGACAGCATTAGCTTAAACGTGTCCATTCCCCTGACCACTGCTGCCCATGGTCCTGATTAAAAGCTGGAATAATGCTATTGATTTTATTAATATATATTATTTCTGCACTTTCTGCCTGTGTGTGTGTGAGAGAGAGAGAATGTGAGATGTGAGAAGCCTCTGATAGCCATGTAGTCATAGCTTTGTTTCTAGCTGCACGCTTTACTGTCTGTGTCTGGTGTTAGTGTTTGTACAGAGTACCTACAGGAAAACCTCTCTAAAATGTG